CCCAATGTCCCTTAGTGTCTCAGTGTCCCCATGTGTCTGTGTCATAATGTCTCCCAACGTCCCTTAGTGTCTTTGTGTCCCCATGTCTCCTTGCAGCCTTTCTCTCCTCCCCTCTCCCCCCATCCCTCACTTCCCTGAGCTGTAGGCTGTCTCTGCAGGGTGAGAGTTGCTGTCTGGACTCTCTGTAGCTGCTCCCCTGTGGATCAGTGAGTAGAAATAGGCAAGGAGGGATATGCTGGAACTTCCTATCCCTGCCTCTCTCCACACACAGCGACCCTTACTGGCCAGTGCTATTATTGCATTGGAATCTCTGTTTATACTGAGAAAAATACCAGCATTTGTATTGCCAGTATGACTGCAATGTCGGCACCGGCCAGGCAGCCTCAAATACTGTCTGTGCCAGTAAAATACCAGCCAGGTGGAAACCCTAAGAGTAGTGTGTAAAAATAAAAAAAGGTTTTTTTTCAAAATTAATGGGCCTTTTTCATGGGCATGGGCCTGGAGCTACAGCTCCATCAGCCCCTATGTTAATCCGGCCCTGCACAGGATGCCTTCATAAGAATACACATAACATATGCTAAACTCTTGCTTTCGTCTCTCGATCAAACCGATATCCCCCTACATCATGTCACTGGCAGTGCCCAATGGTGTGAACCCTCCCAGAGAGGGGGTGAGTCTGCCCAAGAATTAAAAAGGTCAGACTGGCACGAATCAGTCAACTAAGGGTGGACTATGAAGACAGCACTCTTTCAGCACCCAGAGCTTGTCTACATGTGTCTACCAATGAACTCGCTCTATGCTTTCCTGGTACAGTTCCTTGATGTCTTCCAGCACTCTCTGGTCCTCTCCTTTCATTCTCTTCTTAGAAGCAGGCAGAAGCTCCCATTATGCAGTCTGAACAGAGAAAAAGGTCAATGTAAGTGGGACACACCACACTGTTAGAGAGATCGTAGCAGCAAGAGTATTTGTACAGTGCACAAAGTCAGCTTTAGCTTAACTAATTTATAGTAAATCAGTCCACACACGTTTTGTTACCCTACATCCTTTTCCTTTCAACGTTCCATAAATAATTCCCTCTGCACAAAGCAAGAGCATGTGAAGAGAAGTAAAAAAACCCACAACTAAATATATAAGATTTCAAAATACCAGAGTATTGCAGTATGTAATTATACCTTTTTTTACTGGACTAACATAATATTTAAAAGACAAGCTTATAAGAGTTTTCCTCTCTTCCTCAAGTCTGAAGCAATACTGATCAGCGTTTAACAGTGTCCAATAAAAAAATGTATAATTGCATTCTGCAATATTCTGGTACTTTGACATCTTGTCTACTGGACTAATACGGCTAATCCAATCTACACCATATACATATAATTAATTGGCCTATCCATGAGCCTGGAGCTTCAGCTCCATTAACCCCTATGTTAATTCGGCCCTGCCTACGGAATTGCCCCCAAATGTGTTGTATGAAAGCATCATTAGACATGCTTGCTCCACACTCAGGGCACTAGGAGTGTGCAGAGAGTGCTGAAACAGCACTCTCTGTATATTTAACCATAAGTGGGCCTGTCATGATGACCTGCCTTTTCTTCTGGTATACCTGCCCCCCTTCAACTTAATTTCGGGGGACATCACTGTAGTAAACTAACATTTGCAATCAATCACAATGTACTGAAAGCGCTTCAGAATGGCAAGGACATCACAATGCTCTTCATTCTTCTTTATCCAGACAGTGAACCCGACGGACACCATTTATTGTGTCAGTTTTTGCAATTTTATTATTTTTGTATTTTCCACTTGAGTCAAGTTATGATGACTATTTTAAAGCCATGTTTTTAAACAGATCTTTATTTTTATCTTTTAAGTTTTTAGGGTGTATTCTCATTGGGTGGCTCCACTAGCCACCAGGAGTGGTAGGAGGTGGATAGGTTTGATCACTATTGTGGAACTGGGCCATCAAAGTAGATGTAGGATTGGATTACGACTTCTACGGTTTCTCATGATTTTTCTGTCGGCAGTCTTCTTTTTTTTCTTTTTGGCACCTCAGCAATACAACACCAAATCTTATATATCTTATCACCTGGTAAATCTATTGTAATTTTCTATATAAGCATATGTCTTATAATTTTCCTGCTTTTGTTATAATTTATAGTTTTAGTTCCATAATTTAAGCTTAGAATTTTGCGCTCCTATATATAGGCATAAGCTGCCACCATGGTAATTAAACTGTAAAAGGAAGAGGCACTTTCATCTCTTCATAATAACAGTAGATGAATTGTGTTGCTGTCCTTCACATTCATTTTGGTTTTGAAGGCTCTTCCTCATCTTTTGTTATGTTTCAACTGAAACCGCTTTTAACAAACAGCTTTTTTTTTAGATTTTAAAAGAGGAGGGGGAGAAAATGGAAAACCTTGATGTTTTACGAATCCCTACCGTAGCACAAGTGGAGTAACTGTCATAATTATACCGGTAAAGAGTCTTGAGTGCGAAACATAATTTTTTAATTGGATGATGGGAAACCAAACAGACAGAAGTGCCAGTCACACTTTGTAAATTAACACATTTTAAGTCTCAGACTTTAAACACAAAAGAAGACCATGTGTGGTAACTCTTCAGATTTGCTCCCAATGTTCCAGTTACGTCATTTTATCACTCGCCCTTTAGAGCATAGCTCTGGTCTACAGATAGAATAAATGACAATCTGCATCATCCCACTTCTGATCTACCTTTTTTATACTACTTTTATTTCCAGCGTTTAACCCACATTTTCCTCCTACCCACATCAAATTCCTGTTACTGCTTAATTTCTACTATTTAGGAAGAGAACTGGGGACGTCTCCAGACCACCTGAGTTGATCAGGTTGTTGGGTGCCACAATAAATCATAGATATGGAGGCCTAAAAGCCAGGAGCCTCCTCAAGTAACACACCATAACTTGCCTAATTCCCTGGCATGTGTTATTATAGTATGAAAATGATTTCTATACTGTGGAATGCCAAGTCCCAAGCATGTATCTCCCACTTTGGAACCCTGTAATATCCAAGTAGCGCCAGGGAGTGCTCATTCCAACTGCCACTACTTAGTGATAGACCTGTGCAATGGGGAAAAATGTGGTTCATTTTTGGTTTAGTTTTGGTAATTCCAAAAATTAGGTATTTATCAATTTGGCCAAAAATTTCTGAAACATCTGAAATTAGAAAATAGGTTATTTCCTAAGGGGCTTATTTAAGTAGATAGCTCCCTAATTTGGTACACTTATGTGGGATGGCTCTATTAAGGATATCAAATTGGGGTGCTATCGGATCGATATGTGAGTGTGCATGCATGAGTAAATGAACGTGTATATATGGGCAAATAACTGTGCATGTATGGGTAAATGAATGTGTGCAGGACTGTGTGTATGCATGGGTCAATGACACTGTATGTGACAGTGTGCACCACTAAACAGCGCCCTAATTTGGTATTCTTAAACAGGGCAATCCCATATAAGGGTACCAAATTACATAGTTACATAGGATGAAAAGAGACATGTGTCCATCAAGTTCAGCCTTCTCACATCTATTTGTGCTGTTAAGCCAGGGCTCGACAAATCTCAGGCACCAGGTTGCCATGGCGATTTGTCCTGGTGTCTGGGATTGGCAAACCCGCTCCCTCCTCCTTCTGTCTCAATCACTGTGCAGGGGAATTGCAAGCTAACCTGGCAGGATACCAGGTAAACACAGCTCTGCTCCCTGCCCTCCTCCCGCCTCCATACTTGACCCTGCTACCTGCCCACATGCCGCATACCCTACCATGCTCCCCGCCCCCATGCAGGGCTGGACTGGCCCACCAGGATGCCCCCGCGGCACCTGGGGCCGGTCTGACAGCCCTGATCATTGGGCTGACAGCTCCTGTGCAGCCCTGTAATCCCGGCCGGCCATGTACAAGGTGTGCGGCCGCACAGAGCCCCATGGGAGCAGGGGGAGCCAGGCAGCCGACACAGCTCACACATAGCCGGCCGGGATGAGAAAAATAAAAATAAATTTGCGGTGGGGGCGGAGCTAACGTGCGGCGGGGTGGAACTTAGCGTGCGGCGGGGGCCTGGCTGACTGCAGCATGGGAAGCAGGAAGGAGTTCCTGCCTCCCCAACAACCAGGCCTCCAGGCGCTCCAAGCAGGAGGGAAGAAGCAGGTCAGTGTGTGAGTGTGTGACTGTCTGTGTGAGTGTGTGACTGTCTGTGTGTGACTGTCTGTGTGAGTGTGTGACTGTCTGTGTGAGTGTGTGACTGTCTGTGTGTGACTGTCTGTGTCTGTGTGTGACTGTCTGTGTGTGACTGTCTGTGTGAGTGTGTGACTGTCTGTGTGTGACTGTCTGTGTGAGTGTGTGACTGTCTATGTGAGATTGTCTGTGTGAGACTGTCTGTGTGTGACTGTCTGTGTGTGTGTGTGTGTGAGTGTCTGCCTCATTCCACTGATCTAGACCCTTGTTTGATTCGCATGAGTCTCCAACCAGCATTATTGGCTCTGCTGAAAGTTGCCAGGAAACTTGAGTGATCATACATAAGAGATTTCATCCCATTACCATAAGGGATTTATTGATGCCAGTGCCTTTCCCACTAACAAATTCATGATAAAGCTGATCTTGGCTTCATCAGAAGGTAAGGTTTGGGGAGTCATCTCAAAGTGTACACCTACTTGATTAAGAAACCCCCTACTAGTGTGTGGGAAGAGTGAATGCTGAACAGGACCTGATGTAGAAACAGAACAGGATATAACCTGAGCTGCCACAATAGTAAACTGGTTCTCAGGCTAGGGACAGCCCATTCTAATGAGTGCTTTGCTGGAAGCAAACTGTTGTCTTGGGTCTGCAACGTTCATGGCCCTGTTGTAATAGAAAATACAGTGTTTACATTGGAAACTTGGAACACCTCCATTTGTAGTCAATCAGACGGCCACCAGAGGGACTTCCGAGTTCAGAAGCCCTAAAAAGGCTTCATTCACGTCTGACGTATTTACGCATGGGTGAATACTTCAGACTGTGAACGCGCTTTGTATCCTGTGTCAGCACTGCGTGGGAGTGGCTTGAGCTGACAGGTCTGACAGGCTGAAGACCGAGGAGGGGAGGATTCAAACTGTAAGTAAACTTATTTAGTGAGTGTGGGTGGGTGACTGAGGGTGAGTGAGTGAGGATGGATGGATGATGGGAGTGGATGGATATGGATGGGAGTGGATGGATTTGGGGATGGATATGGATGATGGGAGTGGATGGATTTGGGGATGGATGATGGGAGTGGATGGATTTGGGGATGGATATGGATGATGGGAATGGATGGATGATATGGATGATGGGAGTGGATGGATATGGATGATGGGAGTGGATGGATTTGGGGATGGATGATGGGAGTGGGTGGATTTGGGGATGGATATGGATGATGGGAGTGGATCGATGATGGGAGTGGATGGATTTGGATGATGGGAGTGGATGGATGATATGGATGATGGGAGTGGATAGATTTGGGGATGGATATGGATGATGGGAGTGGATGGATGACGGGAGTGGATGGATTTGGATGATGGGAGTGGATGGATGATATGGATGATGGGAGTGGATGGATTTGGATGATGGGAGTGGATGGATGATATGGATGATGGGAGTGGATGGATTTGGTGATGGATATGGATGATGGGAGTGGATGGATTTGGGGGTGGATGATGGGAGTGGATGGGAATGGATGGATGATGGGAATGGATGGATGATGCGAATGGATGATGGGAGTGGATGGGAATGGATGGATGATGGGAATGGATGGATGATGCGAATGGATGGATGATGCGAATGGATGATATGGATGATGGGAGTGGATGATATGGATGATGGGAGTAGATGGATATGGATGATGGGAGTGGGTGGATATGGATGATGGTAGTGGATGGATATGGACGATGGGAGTAGATGGATTTGGATGGGGATGGATGGATATGGATTGGGATGGATGGAGAGAGAGAGCGTTTGTATGTCTTTAATTTTTTACTATTTGTGTGTTTGCATAGAAACACTATATATAGAGAGACATTTTGGCTGAGGAGGGGGGTATAGAAAGCGAGCTGAGCTGTCAGTCAGACAGCTCAGCTCGCGAACGTGCATTTCGCGTACATGCGCGGTAGAGGCGCTGAGTGTCTTCAGAGGGCGGCATTCAATGCTGCTCTATGAAGAACGCGATTGGTGCAGCGCGATTGGTGCAGCGCGAAGCCGTGCATTTGCGCCAGATCGTGATGACGCTTCTCTGAGAGAAGCGTCTGATTGAGTCCCGCGATTTCGTCATTTTGACGAAAAAGGGGGTGCGGCATGGCTGGGAGCTCGGCGCTGGAACTGAGGTAAGTTTATATGATAAGAAAGCTTGGAAAATTATTTATTACCTGTAAGTTCATATAAAAGCAAGAAGGAAGGCTGGGTCTGTCTTTCTTGCTTTTATATGTAGACTATAGTGTCCCTTTAAGGTATAGTAGAGGGACATCGTTGAAATACAGTATTGTAGGACATGCTGATCATCTGAGGATAGGCTATATCTGCTGTTGGGCACATTACAGGTTTAATCTAGTGAGCAAGATAAAACATCATGTTCTGTGTTGCATACATACATTTTTAGAGGTTGTGGAATACACAGTTAGTGCTATCGAGCTAGTCTGTTTGGACCTGCTCCGTCTAAGTACAGGGGCTGCTAATTGGATCAGGTATCTGGGTTACACTATTAGACATGTTGGGAGGTATGCTGAAATCTGCCTTGTTTAACCAATTGGTGAGGCATATTATATAATATATAAATTGGAATTACATATGTGCTGCAAGACGATTAAAGCGGCACTGTCATGCCGAATTCTGTTGTTTTTTTTTTAACCCCCCTCCGGCCTCCACTACATCTAACTAACACCCTAGTCACCCCCAAATGCCCCTAAGCCCCCCACAATACCTATTTTTTATTCCTTATTTTCTGCCCCGATCTATATTCAGGGCGCCACCATCTTTGTGTGGGTAGATGAAGTCCCTGTGGGACACGTCATCAGCCCACACTACACAGACTGTAAGATTCCCGCACATGCCTAGTGAAACACCTGGACATGCGAACGGGAATTTCATCTATTCATTCATTCATCAGACAGACGAATGAGTGAATAGAAAGACCAGCCGAACAAACTAACACAATGTATCAGTGTTAGTTTGTTCGTGCAGGTTATTACAAGGAGGGAGCTACCGGCGTGCAGCTCCTTCCTTGTAATATGTAACTATAGAAGCGGCAGGGAGCAGTGCTCCCCACCACTTCATAAGCCCCCCCAGGTCCCCCTCTCACTCTATGGGGGTCAATATGACCCCCATAATAGCATAAGGGAGGTTAAAATCTCCCCAATGCCCCTACTCGCGGTATATAGCCTGTGGCTGCTCACTGTAAAAAATAAATAAAAAAAACAACTATTGGCCCCCACCCCTAAACGACGGGTGGGGGCCCTAAAGTAAGATAAGAGGGGAGACCTAATATCGTCCCCCTCGGCCCCCACCCCTGGGTGGCGGGTGGGGGCCCTAAGTCAATTACCCCCCCCACCAAGGTGACTAGGGGTCCCCAAGCCCCTAGTCACCCACCCCCCACCCAAAAAAAAAGTCCCTACCTACCCCCCTCACCCTAAAAAATAGTGAGGGGGGGATAAAATAACTAACCTGTAAAATAAAATTAAACTTACCATTCGACGTCCTCTTTTTTTCTCAAATCTTCATTTTTCAGCCCCAAAAAAAGCCAAATAAAAAAACCATCATAACCGTCGAATTGAAAATAAAATAAAAATCCTGAGCGCAAAAAAAAAAAAACCTGACGAAAAAGAAAAAACCCGAGTGCAAAAAAAAATCCATCTTCACCCATGGAGGGCTCCACGCAGACTGAGCTCCGCAGGGCGGGTGAAGGCTTATAAAGCCTTGCCCCGCCCTGCAATTAGGCTAAGAACACTCTGATTGGTGGGTTTAAGCCAATCAGAGTGCTCTTTGTCATTTTACACAGCGTGGGAAAATTCCAAAGAACTTTCCCAGCTGTGTAAAATGACACAGAGCACTGTGATTGGATGGATTTCAAGCCATCCAATCACAGTGCTCTGTGTCATTTTACACAGCGTGGGAAAGTTCTTTGGAATTTTCCCACGCTGTGTAAAATACTTACAAGTAACAAACAGATGAACCCCTAAGCATCCAATCACCGGTGCTCTGTGTCGTTTTAAGCGTGGAAGAGTTTACAACAGGGTTTTCCCATGCGTAAAAATATTTTACACTAATGATTGAATGAATTTCAACTTCTACATCCAATCACAATTATACTGCTGTGTCATTTTACACAGCGTGGGAAAATTCAAAAGAACTTTCCCACGCTGTGTAAAATGACACAGAGCACTGTGATTGGATGGATTTCAAGCCATCCAATCACGGTGCTCTGTGTCATTTTACACAGGTGGGAAAGTTCTTTTGGATTTTCCCACGCTGTAAAATGACACAGAGCACCGTGATTGGATGGCTTGAAATCCATCCAATCACAGTGCTCTGTGTCATTTTACACAGCGTGGGAAAGTTCTTTTGAATTTTCCCACGCTGTGTAAAATGACAAAGAACACTCTGATTGGCTTAAACCCACCAATCAGAGTGTTCTTAGCCTAATTGCAGGGGGGGGGGACGACATTAGGTCTCCCCCCCTCATTCTCACTATGGCCCCCACCCGCCGCCCAGGGGTGGGGGCCGGGGGGACGACGACATTAGGTCTCCCCCTTATTTTACTTTAGGGCCCCAACCGTCGTTTAGGGGTGGGGGCCAATAGTTTTTTTGTTTTTTTTTACAGTGAGCAGCCACAGGCTGCTCACTGTTTACCAGACATGCCCCTACTCGCGTTATAGCGAGTAGGGGAATATTATTTACTAATACTAAGTAATCTTTACTTAGTATTAGTAAATGTGGCTGAAAGACCAATTTAGGTCTTTTAGCCTTTTAGTAGATAGCTCCCTGATACCGTGGGAATTAGGGAGTTATCTACTAAGCGGCTGCAAGATGAAGCCACAGCATGAATAGGATCGGAGTTTCATTCATTCGAATGAAATTCCGATCCGAATAAAGTGCCGAATTGCGTTCTAAAAGAAACGAACATACGTACTGTTCTCATTCGGTTAAAACGCAATTCGGCAATTTTGTGTAAAGTGACAGGAAGCATTGTGGGAACACAGAGGAAAGCTAGGGATCATGGGAAAATTGCGCTGACCAGCGGAAATGAAGCACACTTTGCTCCTCCGCTGGTCAGAGCTGGTCAAGCGGAGGAATCCTCCATAAGGCAAAGAGTCCCTACTTTGTCTTATGATTTTAAAGAAAACTAAAGAAGACAGGAAGAAAAGAATAACAGATCCTGAGAGAGGGGGAGAAGAGGAAGAGATTGAGGAAAGGTAAGTTCGGCATGACAGTGCCGCTTTAACATGGACATTTTATATCATATAACACCGGTACTGCTTTCTCTCGTTAAGGATAGCAGAGCTGGAAACCCATATTAATCTTAGAAGTAAACGTGATGGGTGGCAGATCGAAAGCCTTATGACCCAGAGTGTCGGTCAATGTCCCCCCCCAATTAGCCTATGTCTTCCGGGGTTAGTGTCCAGACCTGTGAGCCGCACTGGAACTCAGCCGTAGCCGGTTTCGGTCCGGAGAGTCCTGATGCTAGGCTACCTGGTTTGTGTACATAGGGTCCTGTTGTATAGCGGCTGGATCTGTTCGTGTGCGTCGGTCTGGTCCTGTGCAGGTATGGATGTGAGCTCTTCCTGGCAGTGGTGCCTGGCTTTGTTTTGGGCTTTGGTGATGCTGGCTTCAGCTTGCTTGGGGCTGCTTTCAGTCGTGGGTGCCTTGTGGGTTTGTGTGTCGATGGTGTTTCGCACTGCCTCTGGCGCCATTTTCCGGCTTGCGGTTTTTGGCTTGTCGTGCTGCGGGCTCGGGTGCGGTCAGGCTGCTCCGTCCGTAAGTGCTCGATCTGGGTTTTTGCTGCGGTCTGTCTTTCTTTTAACTTGTGCCAGAAGGCCTAAAATAGGGCGTCTATTCTCTTCAGGCTGTCTGCCTGTCGCATCGCGGTGAATGTCCTCGCGCCGGTCACCGCCATTTTGAGGTCGGTTCGACTCGGTTCGGAATGCTGACACCTCGCCCGAGGGTACCCTCCTGGGACCGGGATGACCCCCACACCGGTCCAAGGGGGGGGGACGAGGGCCCTTGTTCGAGCTATTTGCCATCAGGGACGACGGGGGAGCGGCTGTCTCCCCTGCGCCTGCCATGCTGCTGGGCCTTGGTCCACTTTGCTGGGTTTCTTGCAGTTTGTGCCACTCGTTTGGAGCTCCTCGCTGGTGGCCCATTTTGTGGGTTTATGGTCAGTTTCAGGCTTTTAAGCAGGAATATTTGCCACCAGAAGCTGCTCTGTCGTCAGGCCCCGCCCCCCTCGCTCACACTTTCCACCCACCAGCCAAAGATGGGAGTATAGCGGGCGGACCATTGGCAAGTCATCATTATTTCAATTTGACAAACCCCTGTCCAACCTCAAATGGGATGGGAGTTATTATGACTGGACATCCATAGAAAAAGGGTAGTAGTTGCCATGGTAAACCA